CGCTAGTTACGGCCCTGATTAATAGCGTCATTATTCAGTCACTTTTGAATAAGTCAAGTGGATTAAAACTCACTAATGATTTTTCATAACGTCTCCATTTGTATGAAGTAGACAAGTTTATAACGGTTGGGTATTAAACTGTTCTAAACATTGGTGAAAGTTAATAGAAAACTTGGGGCACACCCGCATTATATATATTTCTGGTCAAACAACATATGACTCTCTGAGCCGAGTCGCTAGTCCATTCGGAGTAACACGATACACGAACATTCAGAAATACATTTTGATTATCAGTTATAATATATTAAGTGCATCGCAATGTTATCGATAATTTTGAGCAACAATAACTCGAATGCTTGTTGCATTGAAAACGCACGAGTGCTTTAGCACGAGTGCATTTTTCTTAGGCAACAAGCATGAGAGATTATTGTTGTTCAAAATTATCGATTTCATTGTGATGCACGCAATATATTCAACAGATTATTGCAAGAACAAACATTTTAAAAATAATTTTATAATGATTTACGAAGTAGTTTGGTGTGCGATACTATGGCGACGCAAGTAAATAAGAACAGCCATTTTGCAAAATTTGTGTGGGTTTAAAAAACCATGTCCAATTTTCGTTTTGGTCGTAACACGCCAAAAGAAATTGATGATTCTATTACAAACATTACGCCGCTAAATACGAAGAACTCACGAAATTCAATCTGGAGGCAATTTGAGAAGTTTTGCGGTGAACGCAAATATGTTTTTGATGGAAACACTTCCACGGAAAAACTAGCATTCATCCTCAAAGATTGGGGGTACAATATGAAAAAAGTCGATGGTAATGACTACAAAGAAGCAGTAATAAAAACGATGTGGAATGTAACGGCAAAGCAGTTGCAAGAACTGTATTTCAATAAATTTGGTATAAAGTTTGATCCTTTTGTTGACCTGGAATTCAAGGGTAGTAGAAATGCACGCGACGCAAAACGCCGGAACCTACAAATACAACCGGAAAAACGCAAAACTAGTTCCTCAATTTTGACTCTAGAAGAATACAACAAGATTCTAAAGATTTATAACGAAGACACGCCAGATGGTTTACAGAAAATGTTTTTTTATGTGGCTGGATTAGAATTAGCTTGGAGGGGATGTGAAGGTGTTAACGTTACTATCAAACATTTTAAGGAAGAAAGTGATAATTGTGGTTTGCCTACGGGGCGAATAGAATACAATTGTATTTTTTCCAAAACAGCTCAAGGAGGTAGCCATAAATTAACAGACAGCAAATGGCTTGCAACAAACACCACAGATCCTAGAATTTGCCCTGTTAGGTAATTAAATACTGTTTCAAATACAAAATAATAATTATTTTATTATTTAAGGCTCTACAAAAAAATGCTGAGCAAGAGAGGTAAACATATAACCACCGATCGTTTATTTTTAACGCCAAATCCTGCATGGAGAGAACCTAGTTCTGTAGGATGGTTCAAAAATTCACCCGTTGGAAGGAATGAAATGGGGAAATGGACAAGAACCGCCGCAGAAGAAATAGGCATCGACATAAAGAAAAAGAAGATTAGTAATCATTCATTACGGTCAACTGCAGTGTCGCAACTTGCAAAAGCGGGAGTCGGTGAAGAACAGCTTATAAAGATTACCGGTCATGCCAATACTTTCTCCATCAAACCATACCTTCAGCTCGATGGAGATCATCATTATCAAATGATTGACAAATTACGCGCCAACTCAACGGCTATGGAAGAGTCTAATAACAAATCCACAAATTGCGCACCGTCTGCTTTGGTACAAATGTCTAAAAATATAGTTACTACTTCACCAAGCACACAAACCCCTGTAAATTACTACAACTGTACCATAATTAATTACAATTCTTAGTTTCATAATTAAATATTTGGTTAGTAACCTCTTGTTTTTTTTTGCAATTAACTGGTACTTGCTTATCTTATAGTTGGCACATCTGGCTAGTGATAATTATCGGTAGTGGTAATTGCACAGTGTGCAATTATCACGTAATTGTATGCTGATTGGTTGAATTTACAAATATTGACGCGTTTGATTGGTCAGTTGACATCATGTGACATGTGAGTGCAATAATCGTCAAACATAGCTCAGAACCATGGTAGAAGGAGACATGGTATAGGCCATGGAGGAAGGAATATATTATTATATTCCTTCCTCCATGGTATAGGCCACGGTTGTAGAATAGATAGGTTGATACACTAGCATACATTTGCATATCCCTGGTCAGCGACGCCAATTGTCGATCGCGTCGCCTGGTTTTTGACGTTTTAGGGACACAGAACTCTATAGGCATCTGTCTATAACCGATGTAATTAATAAAAGAAATCGTACTTATCGACTCCGATCAAATGTCATTTACAAATTTTGTATTGTTCATAAAGCAATGTAAACGAAAATCCCCAAAATAACTAGAATGATTTCCGCTCGACAAGGTAGAGGCGCTAGCTGTATGTGTCCTTTCCATGGATATAGGGATCGAAAAGAAGCGTCGCCATCCCATGCCATTAGTGTACAAACCTATCTATTCTACAACCGTGGTATAGGCATACGCATCTGGTGTGACGTCAAGTGGGGTGAAATTAGCGCGAAATTTAAAATACAATTCGTTATCCGACAACTAATTGACGTATTGGACAGAGCAATGACAACTCAAGCTGAAATTCCCTAGACTTCCCCAGCGAAGCTCACAAGAGTCACAAGGTCGTTGATGCCACCTAACGTCACAAATGGATGCGCAGACCATTTTTAAATTGGTACATCGGATGCCTATACCAGAGAACATAGAGAAGCGACATAGAGGCTGATTTTGCAAAACCACCCTTATTGCCATTGGAGTCCCCAACCGCCAAAGGCAAGCGCCAAATTTAAATAGTCGATGCCAATAAAAACCGTGCTTCACTATAATTGTAATTCGTGTGACCTGAATGATAGTGAAGGAAACAGTAAGCAGCTTGTAATATTCTGGTTAATCTAGTGTCAATTTGTCGAAAATAAGACGCGTCGTTAAAAATATTATGACATTTCTTCTAGTTACTTTTATTCCTAGTTAGAAGCAAACACTGCTACCAACATAAATTGAGAAGTCCTCAACCGTCATTTAATTTAAACTATGGCGCTTCTCTGTGTTCTCTGCCTATACCATGTCTCCTTCTACCATGGCTCAGAACCACCTCAGAACCATCCTGAGTAAATCAGCTGTTAACTAAAAAACACCTCATCGAAATCTATCAAATCACAACAAATCCGCTGACAGTTAAATGCTTAAGCTTAGATCATCGTGGCTTAGACACATCATATTTTGAAGATTTTAGATAGACTGTATTCAGGGCCGGCTCAACACGGTAAGCGAAAGATGCACCGCATCGGGGCGCCCGTGACAAGGGGCGCCGGGCGGCGGGCGCCGCCTATGCTTTTATATTAACTCTATAAAAATAAATTAATATTAGATTTGCATTGAATCACTACCAACAAAATATTATAGCAGTAACATACCACGGCGCCCATCGAAAACTTTTCAGAAAAAGCTACATGTTAACATTCCACTATGACTAGCAAAACAGATCCCAAGAAGTCAATTCCTGGCACTTTCAAACTGTAATAATTGAAAAAGAGTGCGCCTTTGGGTTGGGTGATGAGACCTTTAGATCAATGCCGACAAAAAATAACCAGATTTATGATGCATTATCTGGGTAACAATTTGACGTGACAGCGGTATGACCACAACCAAATGTTTTTCCTAACATTTGTCACGTTTGTTTTTACCATAAAAATCCATGTCGGCATACTTAAAAATTTTATTTTCCAAGTCTAGTCGGTTGGTTTTGGTTGTGGTGGTTGTTCAACAGTTTTGTTATATTTTTCACTGTTCCTGTTTGTAGCCGAATTTGGTTCTGTGTATCATTTCGTGGCTTTTTGTCATCATTAATTTTAATTTTAAATTTCGATTAACATTGAGGCAAGTCTAAATTTAAGATAACTTTGAAATCGTATCAATTTTACAATAATAAAAAATTGAAAAACTTTTGCAATATAAATATTTTTATACTTATACTATGTATAGTTTAGGAAATATCGTTGTACCCTATAAAATTTTATTGACAATAACGAGACGGACAGTAGTACAATGGTAAGAAACATTTATGGCTCACATCAGTCCCCCCGAATTTGTCGGAGAATATTTAGCAGGTAATTGTACGCACAGGGTCGGACTTCCGCTGCTTTGGAAATTTAAGGTCTGCGAATTCCCGCCACGCGACAACTTTAAGTTGTAAATATCTCTTGCTATTGTACTATTGTCCGTCTCGTCATTGTCAATAAAATTTTATAGGGTACAACGATATTTCATAAACTATAGAAAAGTTGTTGCCCGCAGCTCCGTTTGCGTGGAATTCGCAAACTCATCATTTTTCATACATGATCGTTTTCCGGGTTGGAACCGTGTAAAGTGAGTTTTTGGGCTCAACGTTTCGCACACTTTCGTAAGTGGCATCTTCAGGAGCAGGGTTAAGAATAAGACAAAAAAGCACGGTAACTCAGTATGTCAACCATACCAGAGGCGAAATTTTTTTGAGAAATTACACGGTTCCAACCCGGAAAACGATCATGTATTGATTCCGACCGTGCAAACCTCCGAAATTATCATTTTTCATCTCGTTCACTCCTCCAGTGCCCCAGTGAACCGGTCTGACTTAAAAACTCACGCGATTTCTGCACAAAGTGTCATCCCCTATTTTGTCCCCGTAGGGGCCGAATTTCCAGAAATCTTTTCTTAATGGGTGCTTATGACAGAAAAGGAACCTACTGTCCAAATTTCATGTTTGTAGCTTCAGTAGTTTAGGCTTTGCGTTGATGAATCAGTCAGTCTGTCAGTTAAGACAAACATTTTTATATACTAAGATTGATTCATCATAATTTTATGCATGTTTGTTAATAAAAAGTACCTCTCCACAAAAATATGTGATTATAAAACTTTATTTGTTTTTTTTTACAAAAATTTTTTTAAGGGCGTTCAACAGTAAGTTGCATCGGGGCGCCTGGTCCCTTAGAGCCGGCCCTGACTGTATTCGGCAAAATTTTGAGGTGGCGTCATCAATTTTTGGGAGGATAAGTAAATATATCTCGATTAAAAGTGTACCATGCTTTTGACTGGGGCTAGTCTGTACTCTGTGTCACAGTAGTCTGTGTTGTCTACTACATATTACTCCTATGTTTTTGTCCGATACGAACTGTAGCCACTGTGGCGGCGGCGTGTCAGAACTTGACTGTTCTGTGGTCAGAACCAAAAGGAAGTTTGAGGTTATGTCTTATTATAAACTTGATTTCCAAACGAAGAAATGGTCTATACATCCAAAATTTTTTGGGCAAAAGCAAGAAAGTTGTCGCGAAAATATTTGCAACAAGGATTTCGTGATTCCCTTAAAATATTTGTTTCGGGAGGAATAGGAGGAAACGGCTTGCCCAAGTGGGTAAACAACTTCTCTAAAAGTAAATCTAATCATTAAAATATAGGTTTGGTGGAGTAGGAGGACAAGGAGGTAATGTTATTGCAGTAGGAAAAGAACACATAGACTTGCAAGAGGTTTTTAAACAGAACAAAACAAAAAATTACATGGCAAAAAATGGAAAAAACAGTTCCCACAATTTTATACTGGGACCTCCTGGCGAAGATTTAAAATTGGAAGTTCCTGTAGGTGTATCTATTATTACAGAATTAGGAAAGAAACTAGGTAAAATACATGCAGAATATTAATTACATATATGATATATTTTAATACAAATTTAACTTAGGAGAAATAAATGCTGAAGGAGAAGAGTTGGTGTTAGCAAAAGGGGGCACTGGTGGTAACCCCAAAAATGGATATTTGGGTACCAGGGGTCAAGCATATCCAGTTATATTTGATCTGAAATTGATTGCAGATATAGGATTGGTAGGCTTTCCCAATGCAGGTAAAAGCACATTGTTGAAAGCTATATCACATGCAAAACCAAAAATTGCAAGTTACCCTTGTAAGTGTGTAAAACTGATTAAACAGCAAATAAAATATTTGTTTATGTAGTTACCACAGTACGTCCAAATGTGGGCATTATTCAGTACAAAGATTTTAGAGAAATTTCAATGGCAGATTTACCTGGACTTATAGAAGGAGCTTATGCTAATAAAGGCATGGGTCACAAATTTTTAAAACATGTTGAACGCACCAAACTTCTCTTATTAATTGTTGATATAAATGGCTTCCAGTTAAGTCCTCAATATCCACATAGAAGCTGTGTAGAAACAATTTTGTTGCTAAATAAAGTATGAAGTATATAACTTTTTACCTTTATGTATTATAAAATAATTTAATTTTGTAGGAATTGGAACTTTACAACAAAGAATTATTAGAGAAACCTTCTATGCTGTTAATTAATAAAATGGACACACAGAGTAGTGAAGAAAAATACAAAGACATTAAAGACGCGTTACATAATCTAAAAGGTAATTTTATGAATATTTTATTTGCAACAAAATTTACATCCAATTGTTTTTAGATGTTGCAGAAAAGTATCCTGAAGACAGGCGACCACAAATACCCTTAAAATTTAGTGAAATAATAGCAATTTCTGCAAAAGAAAGTACTGATGACGTTAAGCTTGTAAAACAAAGACTTCGTCGTGTATTAGATGTTATGACACAAACAGAAAATTCTCAACAAGATTCTGACATATATGACATGTACAATAACCTTAAGACAAATGTAAATGAAAATGGGCCTAGGTTGGTGTAATAATAATTTATTTTTATCCGTTTTATTATTCAAATTGAACAGACATTTTTTAAACCCTGGGCTGGGTCAACTCTGTCAACTTTGTCCATTTGCAACTAATATTGTGTTTTATTACATCTTGTATGAGGCTAACACCTAGAGGAGAGGAACTTTCAATCTGAACATCTAAAAAGTCATGCAAAATGCCTAAATTTGCTCTCCATCGTTCAATTCCATTCCAGGCAATCATTACCCCATTATCTGTGCAAAGCTTTGGTGGTGGCCGAACTAGATAATATTCCATTTCATCACATACAAGTTGTAAACCTTTTGCTATGAAATTATTACAGGCAACTCCTCCTGAAACAACCTAAACACCAACATAATGATGAATCTAATCTATTAATATTACCAACGTTTGTTTGCTTTTTGGAATAATATTCTCCCTCTTTACAAAAGTCATACCTCTTTGAACGCGTTGACATAGATGCCGAGTTACACCTAATTGGAAACCAGCACATAAATTATTTATATGAGGTATTACCCCATCAGGTTGCACATCTAAAACCGCAGTTACAGTTAATTTTACATACATTTTATTAACAAATACCATGTTTTTTCTCTTCTGTTAATATATGTCTTTGAACTTGGGTTTTTAAACCTGCCATACTAAAATTGCAATTTTTATATTGTAAAAGAGGAGTAGTAAATTTAAATTGTAACACATCACTTGCTTTAGAAGCTGCTAATTCAATTGCCTGACCACCTGACAGTTGTGAATATTCGGCAATATTCCTTAGTTTCATCCTTCTGGAAACTTTATCAAATGCTTCTCCTGGTGCATCATCTAAGGTTGTGCCCAGAAGTAAAAACTTATCAATATCTTGTGCTACAGCTAAAAGGCAATGGCCACCACTTATTAACAAAACTAGGAATGGAAAAGTCACATGTTTGTTATGCATACGAGCTGTTAAAGCATGTGCTTCCATATGATGAATTGGTATAAATGGTTTATTATAGCGCCAACAGAGATATTTTCCATATTTCATGCCAATAGTTAATGACAAAGGAAGACCTAAAATCCGAATCAACAAATTTTCCTTTTTAATGCAGTGTTGTAAGACCTGGCTTAACTGTTGTGGCAATGGCATGCAAATCTTCAAAGCGAATATTCGCTTGCTCAATTGCAGTATTTACTACATTTTCAATATTCTGACGATGTAAATCTTGAGCAAACGGGGGTATTATTCCTCCATTTCTGAAAATGTTAATTACATTTTAAATGTAATAAAATGCAGGCTTCACCTTTTCCGATAACTTACGCTAAGTGAAATAACTGCTGAGAATGTAAAGCTTCTCCTAAAATACTTCCATTCGTATCAACTACAGCACAACCAGTATCATCGCAAGAAGTTTCGATACCCAAAACAATAGCATTCGTATTTAAGTTTTTAAAAGAGTGACTTCTTTTTAAAATCTGCCTAAATAATATTTTCCCATAAAATAACATTTTTATTAGAATAAGAGCGCTTCACATTTGAAATTGTTAGGTTAACATAACAATAACAAGCAACAGGATATTCTATGCAAGCAACCAAAGATATTGAATAAGTATAGATAGAGTATGCCGTATAGCCGTATACTATAGTCCCTAGAAATACAATGTTTTCTTGTATCATGGGCTATACCGTATACTTTCCATCATTCCTTCTCTCGGGCATTAATCGGGTAAACCGTTATCGGGTGACAGCAGTGACAGTGAGTGAGGTTAAGAGGTTTATTCCCCCGCAGTACAGTGGCTGACACATTTCAGTTTAATATAATTTCATGAAAAACAAAATATTAGTCCTAGTTTTTAAGCAAAATGTGTGGTTAGTACACTACCCACACGTTCCCGTGTCTGGTCATTGTAACCATCCATTAAAATCTGGGACAATGACAAATGTAACCCAACTCATGTACAAGACTCAACTTATCTTGAAATTGAAACCACTAGAAGATTAATTAATAAAACTAATAGCATACGTATTTAAAGTCTCTTCTGTTATCCGTCCATTCAAGAACATGTACGAACACGATAAACCGTGACGATACGAACAGAGGAGAGGGTTTGTTTTTGTGTGATTCAAAACAATAAACACTGTACTCCCTCTATACAGAGTCATCAAAATTGATTGAGAGAGTTGGTAAACCTGAACTTGAATAATTTGGTTTATTAAGTTGTATAAAAATATTAGCTGTCAGATTTGAAGTTTCAAGTTTCAAATTTCAAAACTCAGTGGCGTCTTTTTTCGACTTTTTTTTTTGGTGAAAACATTAGTTGTCAGATTTGAAGTTTCTAATTTTTGTCACGCCACTGAATTCATTGCCATATAACCTTAAACAAATCTGTCATAAGGTTGACAAACTTCACGACAAAAACAGGGAGTACCAACTCTCTCAATCAATTTTGATGACCCTGTATATTGTGATAACCCAAACTTCCCGCCTTTAAATGAAAAAGTTTGAAAGGCCCGCGAAAAATTCAAAATTTGGCCTTGGCTATGATCGTCTAACAAATGGAACCTAGCATAGGAACCTAGGTTGTGTATTTTTTTTTTTGACAAGTGGCGAGAAGACGTTCTTTCATACAAGTGAGCATACACTGCGTGCGAATAGAGAGCGCAAGAAATAATACACAAAATTTTTAGGAGGGGACAAAAAAAAAGTGCGCCCCCTCTCTAGGCGGAAAAAAGCTGCAAGCGAAGGCGATACGGACTTGCCATTTCGCATTCACTCCTCAGCCCCAAAACCCCCTATCGTATATTCACGGACATATTACATTTCAAATGAAACACCTTAAAAATATGAAAGAAAAGACACTCGCGAATTGACAGACATACACATATGAAAACCAAACAAGTACAAAAACCCTACGTTTATGTTTTGAATCAATGCAAATATTGAACATCACAAATTTAATAGAAACAAAGCAAAACCTGAATTAAAGTAACTGGATGCAAATACACAAGTTATTAAGTGCGTGTGGCGGCAGATTTAAAGTTACGGCAGTTAAGAGGAACACAACAAAAGTACCCGTGGGGCGTTCTAGCACAAGCGGAGTTTGGGGCTACCGGTCGGGGCTGTTCTCCCCCTTCGACGGTGATTCTATCTATCGCAAGCCTACCCGCACAGCACATTACACATCTGTAGGACGAACATCCCGTCTGAAACTAGGCCATTACGATCGCAGATCCGCAGTTAGGTCTCGACTATTGGGCCAAGTCGAGAGCACTACAACATCGCAACCGTCCCTGAATTTTTCCAAACCCGTACCCTTTGTGCAGGCGACGCGATAAGATCTCGCCAGCTCGACTAGGAACCGCACTTCGCTTCTGACACATTTTCTGTGTTATTTAACTTCAATTCCATTTTAAATGTTCAATTCTTTATGACTCTGACATTAACAACAACTGAACAAGTGTTAAAGTTTCAGAAGAGCAATAAACAACATTTAAATTCGCCATACAATCTTGTGAAATTTTAAACAACAAATAAATCTTATGTGAGATTAAAAATTGACATCAGATAATTTATACGATGGAAACATTCATCAACAAAGGATTTATGAAACAAAACTAGCAAGTATTTATGAAAATCAAAAGATCTGGTGTGAAATAAACTTGTGCAAATAAAAAAATATTATGTGAGGTTAAAACTGTAGAGCATGAAATTTAAGTTCAATGAAAATCATACAACAAAGAAAATTACTGAAGTTAAAATTGTGAGATATGTAGAGAAAAAATTTATGAGGAGAAAATTTGCAAAGTTAACAAAATTTACATGAAATTAATATTTCCCACACTTTATCAACGATTCAAACAAAGAGTTTACATTATGTTAAATTATATCATGATCTAAGTGATTGGTTACCTAAAAAAAAGCGATTTACCTTGAGACGCGAACTGGTTACCCCCACAAAACACATAATAAACAGACACAAAAATATCCAATCATCGTTGCGAGGAAAAAGCGTCACGGTGATGTAATTTTATTGTTGCGAGGGAATACCTCGATGATGTAATCAATCTTTAGCGTTGTGAGGACAAGCCTCGATGATGTAATCAATCTTTAGCGTTGCGAGGACAAGCCCCGATGGTGTAATCAATCTTTAGCGTTGCGAGGACAAGCCTCGATGATGTAATCAATCTTTAGCGTTGCGAGGACAAGCCTCGATGATGTAATCAATATAACGATGATAATAACCATGATAACCGCCTAAGAGAAGAAGTTATTTTAACCCCCCGCCAGTTCGCAGTATGAATTTTGTTAATTTAACTGCCGTAAATGAACTATTAGCAATCTTGTGTGAGGAATTAAAAGGTGTTAAAATAACACTTAAGTATAAGCATCCAGAAACTTATTCATAATTAGACAAACAAAATCAAACGAGTCCTGACTAAGTGAATTTCATGAAAACACCTGCAAGTGGTTATCTAAACAAATTCCTGACTGTTAAATTGCGTTAGAACTAGTTAACGATTAAACTCCTAACAAGAACTGTGAATTTACAAAAAATAAAATAAATTTACACACGTGTTAGCGTCGGTCGAAAATAATTCACTTATTTCCGCTCGGAAAAAACCGCAAGAATTAGCTACTCGCGTTGGGGAAACTGTGGCGTCGTCGTCGTTGCGATTAATTTTCATTAAACAAAGACTTTCTCCTTTTTATTAACATCAAGCCAACTAAACTCAACCTAGCTAACTCACCACGTGGTTTTCACTCACAACAACACACCAAAAGTGACCGCCACCGAACACCATAACTCATCTACCAAGCCGCCCGTGGTTTGAACTAAAAAATATTCGAAATTATATGATACATTGCTGTTCAACAATAAATAACTTATGTATTTGGCGTTTTAATCATTATATTTTCGTTGTGTAAAGAGATTTTTATTTATAATCGTCTAGGAAGAGTGGATAATTTGGGCAATTTTTACGCACGCCGGGTGGTAAACATTCAGGATGACTGTAAATTTGATGTTTCCGAAGATGTCATTTGAACGTTAATTTGACGTTTACATGTCAGGAGGCCAAAATAGTTATTTACATTCGCGTGTGGTAACTTACATTTTACAGCGCGAAATAAATTTGAAGCACGACGGCGAAGCCGGAGTGCTTTAATGATTGAGCGCTGTAAAATGGTTAACGCACAAGATTTGTATTAAACTTTTTGGCCGACAATTTTTAAAAATTATTTATATTTTTTATTAAATTTCACATAAAGTCAGAAATAAAACACACAAAACTGTCAATGAATATGTCAATTACAGTGATCTGTAACTGGTGCACAAAAATACACAAGATGGCGTAGCTAAGTTTGAACTAAAAAATATTCGAAATTATATGATCAACGCGCGGAATTGTATCTCATACGCTAGAACCAGTGCTGTCGCGGCGATAGTTTCATTACAAATATATTTTTCTTTTGGTCTATTTCAACATAATATAACATTTCAAGATCACAAATCTGTGGTCCTGTGGTTGAAAAATTAAAAAGGGCATCAAGTATTATTATTTGAAGTAATATAGTAATATAGAAGTAGTTTTTTTACTAGCTGTAAACACTCCTAGCGACGCACTGGCTACGACCTTGTGGACCAGATCAAGGCGTCCCCGCTACTCGCCGCAAAACACACCTTACTTTAACTGGGGGATTGCAGCGGTGAAACAAATTCCCGCGTAGTGTATATGATACATTGCTGTTCAACAATAAATAACTTATGTATTTGGCGTTTTAATCATTATATTTTCGTTGTGTAAAGAGATTTTTATTTATAATCGTCTAGGAAGAGTGGATAATTTGGGCAATTTTTACGCACGCCGGGTGGTAAACATCCAGGATGACTGTAAGTTTGATGTTTCCGAAGATGTCATTTGAATGTTAATTTGACGTTTACGTGTCAGGAGGCCAAAAATTTATTTACAAATTACAAAAACAGATTTCCCGAGATTACGTTTTATTGCAAAAAATACATAAATCACATTTTTAATGATAAAATTCTTATACTAAAAAATAAATATAAACAGAACAAATTAAAAAATAGTAATCGACTATTTAAATACTATTTTGGTAACAATTTATTTTTAAATATTTTTCGAAATATTCTAACAAAAAGTTTTTCCGGTGATTCTAAAGTATGTATTTGTAAATAGAAAAACTGCGTACTACGTCCACAGATGTAAAAATACTTACCGGTTTAGCGCAGGCGCAACAGGACACAGTTCCTTTTTGAAGAATAAGTTCAGGAAAAGGTTTAATCTATAAATTAATTTGAGTTATCTTGGATATATTAACACGCCTGTATCACTTTAAATGCTTTCAATGCAAACTCACGATGAAAAATAATAGTATAACGTCCCTTCGACCACCACTAAACATATCATTAATACACTGAAGTAACGAACAGAAATATTGGCAGTGAACGTATTTCCAAAAGTAATTAGGGCGGAATTTACCTGGAAGAATGACTTAACACCCAGTGGTTTCTCCAAACTACCATAAAACTCAAACCTTTCCAAGTTATTTGAAGCTCAGGACAATCATTGCAATGTGATTCATGAAATTTCGTCTTTCTAGATAAATGCCGATAGAGTGACAATCTTTTTTTTTTCAAATTAGCACAAAAATTGATAAAAATACAAAATATGCACCCGTTACTTGAAATATGCAGCAGAAGGCAAATATATGCAAATATGCATTTTTTTATAGCTGTATTCATTTTTAATTAGCATGATTCGTTCACATATTAAATATCAAGACTTATATGCAAAAAATAACGGATATGCAAATTTCATAAAATCCGCTCTCTAGTCATAAAATTGCCGATTTTGGACACATTAGAAGGCCCATTAGTCACTAGTGGAATTATAAATTTATAATTAAACTGTTTTTTCATTATTAAACAGTTTAGAGAAAATTGAAGAATTTATTGAACACAAAGAAGTTCAATACATAAAATTAGAATTATATGAATCATTTGTCCAGCTTCAGATTAATATTTATATTGAAAGATAAAACAT